AGTCTTTAAAGAAGGCATACTTTCTGCAGACTTGCAAGGTCCTGAGTTCGATCCCTGGTACCAAAAAAAAAAAAAGAGGCATACTTGACTCTCCTTAGAAAAACTACACAGTGGTTCTTCTCTTTTACATTAATGTAAAATCACTCATTTTCAAGTTATACGTTACTCTCTACAGAATCTTGAAGACCGTGCTAACATGGATCTCAGCAAAATTTGTGACTATAGTACTTTGTCACATATTGTTTAAATTACACATCTTTTTAAAAAACCCAAGGGCCGGGGATTTAGCTTGGTGGTTACGGTACCTACCTTGAAAGCACAAGGTCCCGAGCTCGATCCCTGGTACCAAAAACAAAACAAAAAACAAAAACCCCAAATATTTCTATAAAATTAATTTGAATGCTAGAACAATTCTCCATATGCATCAAGTCAGGCAACAAAGCTTTTAACATAATGCTCTGCACATAGGTATTAGAAGGACCTCAAAATCCTGTACCAAGCCAGGTGTGGTGGTGCACACCTGTAATCCCAGCACTCAGGAGACTGAAGCAGGAGGACTGCCTGGAGTTCCAGGCCAGCCTGGGGTACATAGCAAGACCCTGTCTCAAAAAACAAACAAAAATCCTGTACCAATGTTTACCAAGAGTTTCAATTTATGAAAAAGAAAGATCACCCTCTCAGTGTAAAACCCTCTTGGAACCTAGATGCTAAACAATCAAATGACTCAGGCAGCATTAAGACATCAATCACTGGCACTTTCAATTTTTGTTAATGTCAGTGAGGCTGACAGCTTCCCTCTATAAAATCTATTTCCCGACAAGAGTTCTCACTACATCTGAACTGGATTTTCCACATGCTTACCCTCACAGATACAATACTTCACTCCTAAAGACATCAACAAAGACTACCTTGTCCAGTCCACTTTACAGGCTTCTGCTATACAGTTACTCCAATGGTAATGAACCTGAAAGTATATATGTGGTTGCTCTCTAAAGTCAGCTGACTTTACACCTACCTGTGGTAGAAGTTAATCCTAGTATTTCTGCCCACCTACAACAGAAAAACACAGGGCTGGGGATGTGGCTCAGTGATAGAGGGCTTGCCTGCCATGCATGAGGCCCTACCACTTGACCCTGGAAAGCCAATTTCAGACAGTGTGGTGTACAATTCCAGTACTCAAGAGAGCTGAAGCAAAGACTCACTGTGAGTCTGAGGCCAGCCTGCAATAGACAGAGAGATCCTGTCTAATACAAAACAAAACAAAAGAATGGTGAAAAATAAGTGGGTTCCATTTAGGTATGGCTTATGTGCCTCAAGTTTATTAAAATGTTGAGTTTTGTCCCTAATAAAAGAAACTTAGTACATTTTTTTTTTTTTTTTTTTTGGTTTTTTGAGGCAGGGTCTCCCTTTGTAGTCCAGGCTGGCCTGGAACTCAAAGTGATCCTCCTGCTTCAGCCTCCCAAGCGCTGGATTTCAGGCGTGGGCCACACCCACCTCACTACATTTTATTTCCTAGTTTGAAAGCAAGGTCTTCAGCACCTGCCTTGAAAGCGCAAGGTCCCAAGTTCAATCCCCAGTACAAAAAAAAACAAAACAAAAAAACCCTGAATATTGAAACCAAGGTCTTAATGTCTCATATCCATTTCAAGTATTTTTACCAAGTCCATGCATAATACTTTCTCAAATATTTTAGTGTCTTCCCTCAACTATGGTTCTGGTGACTAGGTATGACCAAAAAAATAATATTAAAGCTTCTTTGAGTAATCTGCATTACCTGCCACAATCAACATCATTTATATTCTTTCAAGTTTTCTTTTTTGGTACCGGGGATTGAACTTGGGACCTTGTGCTTTCGAGGCAGGCACGCCACCACTGAGCTAAATCCCCGGCCCTATATTCTTTCAAGTTGAAGCATCACTCAATGGACGAACTCCATTGTAAAGTTTAAATGGACAATAAACTGGAAAACACTTTGCACAGAACATGTAACATCTAATAAGATATTATACCTTCTAAGGAAACTACTTTTCTTCCAACGTTGATTAGGCCTACAAAGTATTTCTTAACATTACCAGTTAAAATCACAGGGGCTAAAGAGAAGTAATTCTGACCAATACCATGGACCTGGTCACAACCCCAAACCAGAACTCCAGTCTCCTAACTACCAAGCCATTCTCATGCCACAGACCACAAAGCACAGTCATAATTGATGAGAAAACTCAGAAGTGCATACCCTACAGTATCATAGCAAAATTAAATTTCCTTATTTGGGTAGTCATGCTCTAGTTATGTAAGAGAATGTCTTTGTGCTTATGAAATCTATGTTGAAATGTTCAGGGAGCTAGGTGTGTGGCGCACAGCTGTAATCCCAGCATTTCAGAGGCTGAGGCAGGAAGATCACTACAAATTCAAAGCCAGCCTGGACAACGTAGTGAGACCTTCCCTGAAAAAAAAAAAAAATTAGATATGGGGGCTCGATACTTTCAATTTAAGTCTCTAGTGGCTCCAAAAAAATGCATACATATACATATTTACCTACAGACTGATAAAACAGGACAAAATTTCACATTTCACCACTCTCACATTTCTTCCAAGTATTTTTTTTTAACCCCAAGAGAAGTGCTTTGAAACATTCTTATACTTTTCTTAAGTCTGTAATAATGCAGAAATGCTACATGACTGAATAAACTGCGTTATTTGCCTTTTTTTTGGGGGGGGTACCAGGGATCGAACTCTCTGGACCTTGCACTTGTGAGGTAGGTGGCGGAACCACTGAGCTAAATCCACAGCCCTAAGCTGCATTATTTCATAGAACTGACATTTTACTTTTACAAAACAGGGCTTTATGTCACTGTCATCCTTCCCAAAGGCAGAAATTATGCTACATTTGGGGGTAAACTGTGACAAAACAGTTATCACAACCTTTATTTCCTTTAACTAGGATATGTATTTCCATCCTCAGGTTGTGGTGGATGGTTATAATCTGTGCACAATCACTAATCAAGCAAATCAACTTCAAATTACTTTCACCTCCAGGAGTCGAATTATGACCCCCCTGCTCCAGCTTTAAATACTACTCCCTCCTCCAAATCAATTCAAGTGGCCAGACCTGGACAGAAATCCATCCACTAAAGAATAGCACTAAGTATGTGTACAGCTAACAATTTCCTCTCCCCCAGGAGCGCCATGGCAGGACACTTTCACAAACTACAGGCAGAGCCAGTTACATAACCCTTTCTCATAGCCCCAGTGGAGAAAAAAACAGGGGAGATTATAGCTCAGCCCAAACAGCACTATTTTAGATACTCAAATTCACAAATGAAGAGGTAAGTTCCAAAAGAAAAGCAGTTGTTTAAAAACAAAGTGGGCCTAGTAGCTCACACCTGTAATCCCAGCATTGAGGCTGAGGCAGGAGGTTCGAAGTGAGTTCAATGCCAGCCTGAACTACAAAGGGAGACCCTGTCTCAAAACAAAACCAAAAATGGGCAAATGGAACAGCTAGAGAGAGTAGAGAAACACTCAAGGATTCAGAAAATAAGACCTAGAACTAGGCAACAAAACGAAGTTTGACAAAACCAAACATTCCTCAGGCCTGCTTGGGAAAGGTGGTTGAGAGGAATCAAATTTAATTTAAACCAGTTTCTGCTCCAAAGAAAGTCACCATGTGGCAAGCACTTGGGGCAAGTCCACGGCCCTAAGGTCAACACGAGGACCCCAGCTCTGCTTATAAAGGTTATTGCGGAAAGACGCAGGTGTGGTGTTTCGCCAAATGATCTGGCACAATATAAAACTTTTATGACTACATATAGAATTTTGGTAATTCCAAGTGAACCATAAACTGTTTAAAAACAAAAAGTGTAGGAGGAAACACGAAATTGTTCTAGGATGCTTTCTTTGTTTTAACGGGAGCCCACATTGAGGTCTGGATGGGAGGCCGCATTTGCTTGTATCTGGCAAAAAGGAAGTTTCAGGATGTCGTTTAAAAGTTCACTATAAACGTGCGCATCGGGCTTAAAAAGAGTAAAAATGAGTTGATACTGGAAGAAAAGGCCAGGGGGCTCTGAGTGGCACAACAGGTAAATCCTGACCGCTAAGAACGGCAACCCACGCGGCTCGAGGCAGAAAGGCCGCGGGAAGCTGAGGAGCAGAACATGGGCTGTGCGCCAGGGCGGAATCGAGGTCACCGCGAGGAGGGCAGGGACCTGACATTGGCGAGCGGGCCAGAGTGCAGCCCTGCAAGCACGGCGCCCAGCCCCGCTGACGGCCACCCCTAACAGTCTGGGGACGAAGAGCTCGCTGCGGGGGTCGGGGCGCAGCCAGGGCGTTTAAAGGTCAAGGTCAAGGTGGGGTTTGGTGAGCTGTGCAAAAGCGCTAGGAGGAGGCCGAAGAAACAAAAAAACAATCATGCGATCATCTTTACGGCTACCATCCTTTTAAAAGAAAGCAAAAAATGTCTGGACGGCTGAGGGGTGGAAGTGGCCCTGTCAGAAGCGAGTGCAAAAGAGGCCTGGGACCGTAGTCGGGACTCTGGGCGGGCGGCGGGCCACTGCGGGCCACCAGCGGGAGAGGGAGGTGCTCAGAGCCGAGCCCAGAGCACCGCCGCACTCACTTGCCCTCCTGGCAGTCATAGAGCACGATGGAGTCGTCGTCGCTGCTCGAGATGACCGTCTCGCCGTTGGGACTAAAGTCAAAGCAGTTAATCTTGTCCGAGTTCTCGCGGAACACCTTGGCGACACGGAAGCTCCGCAGCACGCTGTCGGTCAGCTTCATGGCGATGGCGGCGGCGGCGGCGGCGGCAGCGGCTGCAGGAGGCGGCGGCGGCGGCGGCGGCGCAGGGCCGGGGCGGGGTCGGGCGCCGAACGGGAGGGCTGCTGAGGGCCAAGCCGGGCGGGGCGGGTGCCGCGCTGGTGGCGGGCTGGAGGGCGGCTGGCAGTCGGGCCGCCACCTCCTCCTCCTACTCAAGTACTACTCTCCCGCCTGGACGGTGGGGCCTCTCTGTTCTTCCTCACGGTCTCCTCAGAGCCAACAGGCGCGACCCCAGCTCATTGTGTCCGCCATCTTGGGGCGACAGGCAGAAGCCGAGAGCGAGGATCCTTATCCGCTGCGCACGCCGGGATAGGGGGCGGGGCGGGAATAGCGGCGTTAGGCGGGGTGGTGACGTCAGCGCAGCTGCAGGGGGCGGGGAGCGGTGGTGCGGCGGCAGGGCTTGCGGCCCCGTTGGACCGGGGGTAATTGACCCTTACTTCCCCAGTGAGTGGGAAGGCTGAGGGGGTGATCTAGGGCCCAGCGCAGTTTTGCTTGATTGAGACCTCAGGAAATTCAGGCGCTCCCCAGAATTTAGGTACTGCGGGGGGAGTCGGGAACACCCCTGGAAGCCAGTTCTAGGGGTATGAATCTGGTTGTGGACTTACTTGACTGCTTCCTCACCACAGCTCTGGCTTAGAGGGCTTCAATTTATTATTTTTTTGAGGAACAATATAGTCTGCAATTTTTTTTTTTTTTTGGTACCGGGGATCGAACTCAGGACCTTGCGCTTGCGAGGCAGGTGGCCGAACCACTGAGCTAAATCCCCGGCCTCTAGTCTGCAGATTTTAAGTGGATGAATTTTTAAGTTCTAATACTCTATACTGTACACCCTTATGACTACTACCCAGAACTTTATACTTTTCTTTAAAAACATTTTGAAACATAACAGTTCATGAGGTAAACTAATTTTAAGTGTACAGCTCCATACATTTTAATAAATGTAACTGTTACAAACGGCCCAAGAGAAACCACTCACACATAGGTTTTGTGTGACCAGTAAGAGCTGATTTATTCTGCTGAGATTGAGAAAGATGTCAGTCCTTAGCCAGAGGAGAAGTTTGGTTTTCATAGGGTTTGGGAAAGGGGTTGTAATCCTAAGGAATCTGAAGTGGAACGTTTGGGGTCAAGGTACCCAGGACGGTCAGTGCAGATGTGCAGATGATACCGGACTTTGGATATTGTATATCCTGTCCTAAATTTCTTTATGGCCTTCTGTTCTGTTTACTGACGGTAGTTAAAACCCTGTAGTGGTTTCCTGTTATTTGTGGAAGGCAGCATGTTTGCTGAGAGGGTCTTACTCAGGTCAGGCATAATAGTAACAAACATTGTAAGTTGCAAAACATATTTATAGGGCTGGGGGTGTAGCTCTATGGTAGTGCTTGCTTAGCCGGCTGAAAGCCATGAGCTAAATGAGTTCTGTCCCCAGCATCATGAGAAAAACAAAAGTATTCACAGCCCAAAATTCATAGCATCAAAGAATCCCTTGAAAGGAAAATGTAAAATAAGAACCAAGATGCGTTATGTAAAGGTACAATTCCCAATCAGAAATGTAATTGTGTTGTATACCTAAAATGTACCAATAAAAGAATTTTTAAAAAAAGAAAGGAAAATGTATCTCCTCATTCAACAGAATACAATTTAAAATTCTTTTTTTTTTGGTAACAGGGATCAAACTCGGGACCTTGCACTTGAGAGGCAGGCGCTGGAACCACTGAGGTAAATCCCCGGACCCTAGAATACAATTTAAAATTCTGATTTCCTCCTCCTTATTCATACATACACATTAATTTTATACAATCAACTCCTTTCCTTCTGCCTTAGTGTTTTATACACTTTCCTATCTTAGTAAACTGGATTGTTGGTGTTCTTAATTGAGGAATAATTTACATACAATAAAAATCAACCTTTTTAGATGTTCTTGTGACATCTATATACAATCATGCAATCACCACATTCAGTGTATAGAACAGGGGACTAGTGGGGATGGAAATGATCAAAGTATGCTACATGCATATAAAAATAGGCCAAAATGAAACCCATTATTCTGTATAAATAATACTCTAATAAATATGCACTAAAATATAGAATAGTTGCATTACCCTCTTTGTAGTCCCTAGGACTGTTTTAATGATCCTATGATAAAAGGGATTCTTTGCCTTAAAAAGAGAAAAAGGTGATCCCTAACAAAGGAAAGCAATTTCTGATGAAGTTAAGAGCCATACTTCCTGGCTTTAATGTTCTATGTGAGAAAGGGTTAAACCCAGTGCAACCTATGCAGGGCCATACATCTCTACTTTGTATGTAACTCCTCTAAAGGTTAATTGCTTGGGGTCTATGACAATACAGACAGCGTCTATTCATTTTGCTTTACTTAATAAAGAAAACCAGAAAGGAGTATATCACTGATATGAGAATGGTGTGCTATCTAGAGACCCATCAAAACCTGGGCAATGGTAAAAACAAAATGGAGCTGGGTGTGATACACACCTGTAATCCCAGTGTTCTGGTAGGTTGAAGCAGGGGGATTGCAAGCCAATTTAGTGATTTAGTCCCTATCTCAAAATCAAAACAGAAAGGGTTGGGGCTATAGTTCAGAGTGAAGGCCTTGGGTTCAATCTCTAGTACAAAAAAAAAAAAATGGTAGTGGGATGTTAGGGATCTTGAGGTCTTCCTGGAAAGAGCTAGGGGCTATATCTCATCCACTTAGGTAAAAAGGAGAAAAAGGATTTCTACAAAGAGAAACTGTTCTCCAAGGAAAGACGGTAAAAGCCTAACTAAATCTGGATTGCAATTGCCTTCTGAGAAAGAGCAGGGCTTCTGGTTACAGTTTATTCCAGGGTCTGGAAAAAGCCAGTTAGAGTGAAACCTGAATGGATGACAACTTTCCAAATTTGCAAAAAAAAAAAAAAAAAAAAGGAAGAAAAGCCTTCCCCATCCCACAGCACTCACTTCCCCATAATTCTAGAGGGTACAAAGGGTGATACAAAGTGGCTTTAAATCTTTAGATGGCAATAAGGATAGATCTGATGCTATGCTGGAGCTATGTAAACTGAAGTTCTCTGAAGAAGCCACATCTCTGTTGAAGATCCTTTGAACTGTTTGGGGTGGTTAGAATATTGTGATTGTAGAGAAATGGAATGTTGTAGGTCATCCAGTCCCAAAATTATTGTGGGCTACTTTAGAGCCTTTAATAACCATTTACTTAACTTTTGTATCAAATCTAAGATTTTTTTGTTTTGTTTCACTATAAATTTTAGTTTATGATATAAAATGTTAAAGACACATATTAGAAAACAAAATATAGGGTTGAGGATTTAGCTCAGTGGTTCCGGCACCTGCCTTGCAAGCGCAAGGTCCCGAGTTCGATCGATCCCTGGTACCAAAAAAAAAAAAAAAAAGAAAACAAAATACAGTCATCAAATTCTGTTTTGTAAATACTTTTGTGGAACAAAGAGATTTCCCTCATATCTGACTTTGTATTGTGTTTTGTTTGCTTTCTGAGAACCACACTATAACAACTATATAAATAACACACATAAACCTTGTTAAAATCATTGGCATAGGTATACTCTTTACTAATTCAAAGAATACTATCACTCTTTCATCGAATGCACTTTATTTACCTGTAAGTTCCCTTATGTAGAATGAAGTATAATACTCCACATTCCCCATAATGAAGTGGTTTTGTCCTCTATTACAATTAGAGACAAATGGACACTTAGGGTGTGGGAAGACAGCCTTTTAACTGTGTCATGATAACTGCTCCTTAGGTTCTGGCGTCATCAATGTTAGGGAACTTTTTCTTGAGGCAATAGCAAATTAACATCACTGATACAAAATATGGCAAACTCAATGGTTACCAGGATCACTTTATGAATTATGTGATATTTAGGTAAATAAAACAATAATCAACATAGTGATTAGTTTCTCAAATCAGATCTAACATTCTTATAACTATATACAAACTTTTAGGAATGTACCATTAAACTTAGCAGACCTTTAACCTCTTGCAGCCCTAAAGCTAAGAGTGCTATCTCTAAGATAACATCTGGAATCATAGAAAAGATTTCCCTGCTTTGCTGCTGCCGCCTATCTGATATTTCCACCATTTGATGATCTATGTCATTTTTGTTGTATTGATTTATGGCTTTCTTTTGTTTCGTGACTATGAAAATGTACCTATTCCATGGTAGAACATGTCATTCAGGGGAACTGGGCCATGAATGTATTTGGCCCAGAATAAACTATTTTCTTTAAAGCAGAGTTACTATTGTATGTCAATAGTTGGTTTTGGGGGTTTTTTTTTTGGTACCGGGGATCGAACCCAGGTCCTTGCACTTGTGCAGCAGGCGGTGAAACCACTGAGCTAAATCCCTGGCCCCTGTATGTCAATAGTTGGAAAGTGAATACAACCAGGAGACACGATTTTGGGGGGTCCCTGTTAGCCTACTGTCAGGGCAGGGTGAGCAGCTAGCCAGGATTGAAAACTCAGCACCAATAATGAATCAGAAGGATGGAGTTTTAAGAAAGGAAGGCGATTTAATTGTAAAGAGGAAAAAGCTGAAGACATGGGAGCTGCCCTGGAGGCAATCTTTGTGAATCTTTGTTGTTGGTGTCTTTTATTAGGGTTAGGGACCCTTCCTTCTAGGTGGATATCTGAGACTTGTCACAGTCTGATTGGTTCCCTGGTCTATCTTCACATGGGTCCCAGGCCACAAGACCTTAACCTTGGCACCCTTGCTTATGTGTACATTCCTTTTGGCAGGCTTTGTTTGACATTTTCCTTTTATCCTTGTCAGAGCCTTATCTACACTTTGCCTGTCAGGTCTTCCTTTGATTAATCTCTTCATCAGAGAGGATTCCTTCCTTTCTTGTAAATTCTTATGCCATTTGTGCTATCTGGTGCCTTTCTACATCTGGTATTAGCCAGTGAATCTAACTGCAGAGGCAAAAGCTCTTTTAGTAAGATTTTCTACTAATTTTTTAAACAAAGCCTAATTAGGCTCTTATTCTATTTTTCCCCTGCCACAGACCCCTATCCCTACACTACAAAAATAACCAAAGAAACAGACATTTTCTACTGAATGTTGTCAGTGAAGACAAAGGTTTGCAGAATATCTTTCAAGACTGTACTGAAACAGGACTTAAATAACAAGTTCTTCCCAGCCTTGGGCAACCCCCCCCCCCCCCGCCCCCATAGCTGTAACTCTTTGTTCTGGTACAGATAAAATTGACAACTATGTCCTGTAAACAAAGTTTATGACACTCTGTTCCCATGTGATTCATAAGACACTGTCTTCTTTCAAAGCTAAGTTAGAAAACTGTCTGCACCTATAAGCTTGCTTGCTACATCACTAAAAAGACCACACCCCTTCGACCAAATGTATAAAAACTAAAACTTTTCTTTGCCCATCGCTCCTCATTTGGACATTAGTCTGTTGAGCTGGTGTTCACCTAAAACTTGAAATAAAGTCCTCCTGATTCCCATTGGTCTCTCCTGTCTCTTGGATTCTGCAACAGTACCACTAGGAGCCATGCATGGTGGCATATGCCTGCAATCGCAATACTTAGGAGGCTGAAGCAGGAGAATTGCTGCAAATTCAAGGCCAACCTGGGCTACATAATGAGTTAAATGTCAGTGTGGTATACACAGCAAAACCTGTCTCAAACACCAACCAATCAACCAACCAAACAAAGATTGTACTACGAGGGAGGGAGAGGAGAGGAGGAAAGGGGAAGTAAAAAGAATCAAGATGTGTTATGTACATGTACCAACTTCCCACAATGAATGTAATCATGATGAGCAGCAAACATGTACTAAAAAGCCACAAATTAGAAAAAGATTATAGGCTTGTACCTTTTCAAGGTTTCACTGTTAAGACCAAAACGTCCTCCCCAGTCTTGACTTCCTGAACTATTTTTTTTTTATTAAATTCTTTTATTGTTACATTGTAGGTATACAACACAATTACATTTCTCATTGGGAACTGTACCTTTATATAATGCATCTCGGTTCTTATTTTTCCCCATTCCTAGCCCTCCCTTCACCCCCTCCACCCTTCCCTATTTACAAAGACTTTATTTCCATTTTTTCCATTTCTCATCATTTTTTCCTTTCCCTTCTTTCCTTTCCCCTGTGCCTCCCACTACCCCTACCCCTTTGGACCTTTTATTCCTATTTTACATTAGCGATTATTCATTCTAATCATTGGTACATTTTAGGTATACAATATAATGACATTCATCATTGGAAATTTGCACCTTTACATAGTCTCTCTTGGTTGTTTTTCACCCTTGCCCAGCCCTCCCTTCAACCCCTCCAGCCCTCCCTATTTAACCTGAACTATTTTTTGAATGCAGAAAAAAAAATCTTTTCATATTTCAAGAGGATCATTTTTATATTCTCACCATTTTTCTTCCTAGCCTGGTTCCCTGCCCTACTGTAGTGGGGGCTCTGCTGGCTTCCAGTCCAACAGTATCACTGCCTTAATGGATGGATTTTCAAAGGGACCCAGAAAGGCTCATTCCAGTGGTGAGTGTACAGAGGGAAAGCTGCAATCCAGAATGAACCATGCTGTTTTAAAAGGAGCTCCAGGCTTAATTTTTTATTTTTCCTTTTTTTGTTTTTTGGATTTTTGAGACAGGGTCTCACCATGAGGTTAGTCCAGGTTGGCCTTGAACTCAAGGTGATCCTCCTGCCTCAGCTTCCCAAGTGCTGGGATTACGGGGTGTGCCACTATGCCCAGCTTGTTCTTTTCTTTTTAATCACTGTCTCATTTATTTTATCATAGTTTTTATGTATCCAGTGCCAGGCATGGTGGCACATGCACCTGTAATCCCGGCACTTGGGAGGCTGAGGCAGAAGGATTGGTGCAAGTTTGAGGCCAGTCTGGGCTACATAGTGAGTTCAAGGGCCAGCCTGAACTACATAACAAAACTCTATCTCAAAAAAAAAAAAAAAGTTTTTACATATGCACTGCAGAAAACTAAAAAGTACAAATAAAGAATAATAAAAAAGCATAGAATCCAGAACTAGCCACTGTGGTTTATTTTTATTTTGTTTTTGTTTTTGTTTTTTGCAGTGTTGAGGATTGAACCCAGGGCTATATCCCCAGGCCCGTTTTTCTGTTTGTTTTGTTTTATTTTTGAGACAGGGTCTCACTAAGTTACCCAGGCTGGGCTTAAACTTGCAGTCCTGCTGTTTCAGCCTTGCAGAGGTAGGGATGAGTTTAGAGGCAGGGAAAGAATAGAATAAGGGCCTCATTTAGGTTTTATTACAGAAATTAGTAGAAAATCTTACTAAAAGCAGCTTTTGCCTCTGCAGTTAGACTCACTGCTAATCCTGAGTAAAGGAGTTAAAACTTTACTAGAGGAATTCCTTCAGGAATGATTAAAAGGACAAAGGCAGAGAGAAGGAAAAAATAAAACAAACCAAGGGCTGGGGATTTAGCTCAGTGGTTTCACCGCCTGTTGCACAAGCGCAAGGACCTTAGTTTGATCCCTGGTACCAAAAAAAAAAATGAATAAATAAATAAAACAAACCAGATATAGCAGGCACCAGATAGCACAAATAACCTAAGAATTTACAACAAAGAAAGGAATGCTCTGTAATCGAGAGATTAACCAGAGGAAAAACTGATAGGCAAAGCATGGTGAAAGCCAGGAGCATGGAAACAAGAATAACCACCTTCTTACACCTCCAATAAAGTGCAAAGGAGACAAGGGGGCAGTTACCTTATTTATGTATGTATGTATGTATTTATTTATTTATTTAATTTCAGTACCGGGGATCAAACTTAGGACCTTGTGCTTTTGAGGCAGGTGCAGTGCCACTGAGCTAAATCCCTGGCTTACCTAATTAAAAAAAAACTCTTGGGGCTGGGGATTTAGCTCAGCGATTCTGCCACCTGCCTCACAAGCACAAGGTCCCAAGTTCAACTCCCATACCAAAAAAATAAAAAGAAATAAAAAGAAACTCTTATTTAGTATATAAAATACACACACATGCATTTATATATATGTATTTTCACTCTAGAATCATTATATTACTGCATTAGATACACATGCATCCCCTTAATCACTACTCTAAACTGCCTTTTCTCTAAGGCTCCTCCTAACCAACCTATACATCCCAGAGATAAGGCCCTGACAAGGACAAAAGGGAAAAAGTCAAACAAAGCCCACCAAAAGCAATGTGCACATAGGCAAAGGAGCCCAGATTAGGTTCTTATGACCTGGAACCCATCCAAGGACAGCCTAGGGAACAAATCAGATTGCGACTAATTTCAGGTATCCATCTGGAAGGAAGGGTCCCTAATCCTAATACCAAGGACAAGGGCTCAAGGGTATTCATCTTTTTACCCCTGCTCTCTTTCCAGGGCAGCTTGTTTCTGTTTTCTGACTTTTTTTTTCCTTACAAATAAATCATCTTCCTTTCTTAAACTCTGTCCCTCTAATTCATTATTGGTACTGAGTTTTTGATCCTGACTAGCTGCCTACCATGCCATGACATAGATATGTGCCACCATGCCCAGCTACATTTTTATTGTAATAATATATAACAAATTGCCATTTTGATGTAGAACGTCTTAGTTTTTTCTTGAAATATATTTTTATTAGGCTTATAATATATTTTAAATCCACTCTTTTTGGGGGAGTGGTTTTGAGACAAGGGCTCTCTATGTGCTTCAGGCTGGCCTTGAACTCACTATGTAGCCCAGGCTGGCCTCAAACTCATAGTGATCCTTCTGCCTCATCCTCATGTACCACCATACCTGGCATATAACCTGCTCTTTTCATAAAAGACAAAGAACACCTTACAGGTCAATAAATATAGATTTACATAATCATTTTGAATGGCTACATACAATTCTACCATATGGCTATAAAGTAATTTTGCTTCCTATTTTAGCCAAAGTTCAACCAGAGCTTAATATATAATAATTGAATATACTAGTTTAGCCAAAGGAATCCAAGCTAGGTGTGGTGGTACATGCCTGTAATCCTAGCACTTGGGAAACTGAGGCAAGAGGATTCCAAGTTTGAACCCAACCTGGACAATTTAGCAACTTGGCAAGACCTTATCTCAAAAAATAAAAAATGGCTGAGGATGTAGCTCATTGTGAAGATTCTGGGATCACCAGTCCTGAGTGGTTAAAAGAGAGAGAGAAAGAAAATTGCTGAAGAGGAAATAGGAAAAGCAGAATATTGGAACACAATTGGAACATGTGGTAATTTTTTTATAGATTGTTTCAGTTGTCACTTACAGTTCTGACATAGGACATTAGGGCATAGCAAAACTGGCTGGGGAAGTAAGAGTGACCTATTAATTACAAGATCCTGGAATACATGCATAGAATAGTTCCCAAACCCCTGCATGTGGGCTTCTCATGAGTACTCAGCAGGTTTTTAATAGGATACCCTAGACTTGGTGTCAGCCAACACTATCTCCCAGGGCCCATAGAAATTCTCATGGGTTTTCCTGAGATACAGAAAGTATAAAAGGATACACATGCCAAGAAGAGTTTGGTATCGAGGCTTTCCTCATGTAAGCCTGCTCTGGTTTCTCTAGGTGTTCTTTTATCTTGCTTTTTCCTTTTTTATTCAGCCCAAGTTTATTCTGTAGAGCCAGTTTCTCCCTCATTCTTCACTTCTACTTTTTCAAGTAAACTTTGCCATGCTTTTTACTCCTTTTGTTCAATTCTTTGTTCAAGACAAGAAGAACCTTGAATCCAGCTCTAGGAGAGGCAAGTAACCCAGAACATGGTAACGTTTATTTGTCAAGCCACTTCAAGAAAGAGCTACCCGATAACAGTTGATATACTGTTTAAGGGGGAGGGGAGTGCATGGGAATAAAAAAAGAATTAAGAAGGTGTTATGTACATATATGAACTCCCCATGAGGAATATGATCATTATGTACTACAGATATGCACTAATAAAAAAATAAAAATTGAAAAAAAACTACTTAATGCCTGACAAATTGCTTGGTTTGCTAAATGAATGTTTAATTTCACTCACCACTAAGAGCAAAGAAATGTTCTATGATGGAGATGAACAGAGGTAATTCCGTGTGTTATCAGGTTCCGGGGTGTTGGGTACTCTATCTATTACTGTGAAACAGGCAGTTATAGTCTGTTATAGTCCAGGCTTTTGTGTACAATGGGAAAAGAATTGCAAAGTGTACACCTGATAGTAAGCGGCAAGCAGCTCCATTCATTGAAGATCAAGAGGCATTGTGCTCAGGGCTCATTGGTGCCAAAAAAAGATATGATACAGACAGAAAAATGGTGGCAGGTGACAGGAAAGGAAAAGCACTGCACATAAGTTATAGCACAGGGAAACAGCAACAGCCACAATCCTCAATAAATAAGGCTTTCAGAATTTAAAGGATATGCATCTCAACCAGGTGCCTCCCCCTGAATGTCTAGTTGTGACTGACAGGAATGACTGATGGGATGCTGAATCATTTTAGGGGCTCTCGATATGCAAGCTTGTCCCAGAATTCACTCTGATCTTTATTACATGCACGACATATAGTACATATTTATAAATCTTTACTGAGGTAGGAGTAAAGTAAAAGTGACTAAAGGTCAGGCTGGGAGATCTAACACCACGTGCTCTCACCTGGAGCATCAGAGATCTCTTGGGTTTTTGTTATTTTATTTCCTATCTTAGAATAATGGAAGGAAGGGCCGGGGATTTAGCTCAGTGGTTCTGGGGCCTGCCTTGCAAGCACAAGGTCCCTAGTTTGATCCCTGGTACCAAAAAAAAGAATAATGGAAGGAGGAATGGACATAGGGTGCTGTTTAGAATTAAATGGATGGAAGACAGTGACTTGTTTTTAGCTCTATTGTTTCTAACTGTACTATTTTTAGAGGTGTTTTCTAGGTTCTTTCTGACCTGAACAAATAATTGGTCAAGACAAGTGAGGTTTTACATTTATTAAATGTAGGAAAAGAAACATGCTGTGCAGAGTGAATGTGGAACAATTAAAAGTAGGAAAAGAAATACTACTGTACACTCTGTAGGGTGAGAGCGGACCACTGTGAAAGAGAAAGCACAGTGAGCAAGAGCTTAATGGCAGCCATCTTTTTGTATTGCCAACTCCTTAGGCTTATGTCAGGTCTAGGCCCTCCTATCAAGAATCTGCTTGAGGCCAGGGATCTAGCTCAGTGGTTCTGCTGCCTACCTCACAAGTGCAAGGTCCTGAGTTTGATCCCTGGTACCAAAAAAAAAAAAAAAAAGAATCTGCTTGAGATCTCATGAGAAGAATTGAAGATAGCAGTCTTTGGTCCCTCAAGCAGGGCTTGGCACATGTGCTACATTTCTGTTACTGACACTCACTTGCCCAGCCACTCACTTTGCCATGCCCTAATCTTCTGTTCTCCCCCGCCCCCACTCTCTCTCTCTCTATCTCTGGGGAGAAAGGGGATTGAAGGGCCTTTCCACTGAGCCTCATACCCAACCCTTTTTTAGTTTTAAATAGGGTCTTGCTAAGTTGCTAAATTGCCCAGACTGGGCTCAAATGTATGATTCTCCTGTCTCAGACTCCCAGAGTGCTGGGATTACAGGTAGGTGCCACTGTGCCTAGTGAGGTGTTATCAACCTGAAAGTATAATCAAGTTAAAGGGAATTCCAGCAATGTTTTTATTCATTTAAACATATTTTCTATTGGTTTTTTGCTCTCTCTATGGTAAAATTAATATATATTTTAAAACATTTAAAAAGATTAGAACAATTTTGTTTCTTGTTTGGCAAGGAATGAATAGCCGACCTCATATCTAGTCCTCACTAAGTTACACACTGTGCTCAGTCTCCCTCCCTGTAGGAGTCAACTGTGGAAGACTCAAAGGGGGCTTCCAGGAGTGCTATTAAAAATGCTGAGCTCAGGGTTTCTAAGCTTCTTGAAGAGAGTTTAGAAGAGAGCTTAAAGAGCTCTCTTGGCCCTGGCATCTAGGACATTGAAGCCTCACTACTGCCCGGGAACCTTCTGTCACCTCCCGCTCCCTCACTATGTAGCTCAGGGTCAGAATATGTCCACTTTCTGGAATCTCTTGGAGACATCCCGAGACTCTATGACCAAGGAGTCTGGGTGAAAAGAAGGCATTTTCTTCTGGTGGCAGAACCAACTATATAATTTGCAGGGCCCAACACAGTGGGGGAGGGGGGAAGGGCCCCTGGTTAAAAAATGATTAAGAATTTCAAGGTGGCAACAATAGAATACTAAACCAAGAGCAAGATGCTTTTGAATGTGATTCCCAGTGTGACTGTATAGGTTACACATCTGTGAAGCTAGCCCAACCCAGGAATAGTATAGCCATAACTTGCAGCCTTTCTACAGGCACCTGAAATGTTTACTCAATACTCTTAACTCTGTTTTCCCCCCTAGCAAAGCTGGGGATCAAAGCCAGGGCCTCACACCTGCTAGGCAAGCGCTCTACCTCTAAGCTGCACATCCCAAACCCTCTTAGCCCCATTTTAATGATGAAGATAGGGAGGTTAAGTAATGTTCTCAAAGTCACACAGCCAGTCAGGGCTAGAGACTGGATTCACACTCTGCTCTGCATTGGAAAGGGCTAGAGACTGGATTCACACTCTGCTCTGCATTGGAAAGCTCGGACCTTGTTTCCAGGACAAAGGGCAAATAACCATTCACATTTAACAAAGTCCATTGTTGCCAAACAATGCCTTATTATGGCAGGAATCGATGGGACCTTCTCACATAAACCTTGACTGCCCAGAAATAGGAGGTGGTGCCTAATGCCCCAGAAGCACTGTCTCTAAAGCTACAGAACTGTTTCCAAAGGCTTAAAAACCTTTTCTGACAATTCTACAGGTTCAAAATATATAGGGCTGCATCTTTACTTAACTCATACTTTTTTCTTGTCATTATTTCTTAAACAATATAGTTCAACAACGATTTGCAGTGTTTATTTATTTATTTTAAATTTTATTTTATTGGTACATTTTAGGTATACAATATAATGACATTCATCATTGGAAATTTGCACCTTTACATAATCTCTCTTGGTTCTTATTTTTGCAGTGTTTAAATTGTATTAGGTCAAGAATTTTTTTTTTCCTTGACCCTGGGGATTGAACCTAGGGTCTCACACATGCTAGGAAAACACTGCACTACATTCCTAGCCCTGTATTAGGAATTATAAATAACTTAGAGATGATTTAAAGTATACAGGATGTGTATGGGCTATATGTGAATAACATATATAGTCATTTTTGGCACTTGTCCACTTTGAAACTTGTCAGATTTGGTACTTAATGAATTCTGATGCCAAAGTTTTGTTCTGGTACTTATGATTTGTTTGGTATTCTATGTATAAGCTACAACTTGTCTATGTATAAGCTACAGTTGCCTTGTGGCTTGTCCCTTTCCACCCAAAATAATTTGATATTTGTCTTTTTGGCACTTGTTGCACCTCCTCGAACCATTTAATGATAAATAACAAGGTAACACTGTAATGCAGATGAGTATCCACAGATTGTTTTCTGTGGGGATCCTGGAAACAATCCTTGGATACCAAGGATAGATACCAAGGGAGGACTGAAACAGGCTCTGGTGGCCCCTGAGCTGCTTCCTGGTAAGATGTTTGGACTTTTCACTCTACTGGTCTCCAGTATTATTGATTTGCTTCCTCCTCTTATTCAGCACCATGCCAATTTTCTCACTAGAGCTGCCCATGTAACCAGTTCCCTCCTTGCTGTGATCTGGGCCCTTATTTTGGGGCAACAAAGATTGAAGCTGAATGTCATGCCTGGTCTAAACAAACAGGCTGCTTTTAGCAAACAACAACAACCTCTCTGTAAATAGTACAAATGGACACAAAACAAAGTATACAGTCTCTCTGGCTGAGAAGTCCAGTGATTATCTACACACCTGAACAGACCATCCTTGGGCATCCAAGTCATAAACATTCCTTATGATTATAGCCCCTTCCCCAAAATCTATATAAGCATAGTTTTCTTTCCCTGCTAGCTGTTAGAATCTCTCCTTGATTTTAGTCTCTGTTCACTGGAATAAACTTTGCTTTTCCTCACAAAAGGGCCTGTTTAAATGAGTGGATTCATGTTTACAGTCTATAATACTGACAAAACAGCAAAGCAATAAGCAGCAGGGAATAGCCAAATGTGTTTTTATTAGAAAGAATAAAAGGAAAATCTCCCTACTATCTGGGGAGGGGTTCTGTAAGGTGGACACCTTAGATGTTTAAATCTATTGGCTTTTTATACAGCTTTTGGTGTGAGTGAATGTGAGAGAATGCAGGGATGCTTCTGGTTGCAGGTAAGCCTTTGATGTCTGAAAAGCAAGCTTCTTTGCACTTCATTTCCTCCAGGGCTTCTCCCATTTGTTTAGGGACCTGTTCTTTGTCTCTTGCATGCCAGTAAGCCCTGATAGTTTACTTGTTAATTATTGGGGCCTTTTGGTATATTAACTCATTTAAGTGCTTTTACTTTATTCAAGGTTAATTATTCTGAACTTGATCCCTATCTGCCTAACTTCTTCTATCTTCTGGCTTCACACTCATGAAGTTTCCAGCATTTCAGAACAAAGGGTTGTGTGACAAACACAGATAGGTAAGGAATGGATGGGGCCAGTTTGCTGAAAGCTTGAAGTCCCACCATGAGTTAAAAGATCTTTTTCTCCTCCCTTGTTTTCAATTTACCAGGAAACTTTATACACCTTGATCCATATCTTAAGGACTAGGTGTAAAATCAGTTAAAATGCACTGGCACTTTCTTTATGCATGCTCCATTCCTAGGTTACAGGAAAAGTCACAATTAAAAGATAATTTTTTTTTGGAAACTACGAAGCAGAAACAGAAACCAGATGCACAGACCTTCAAACAAGCTTCTGATCATATTTTCTTAGATTCACAGATCTGACACACTCTGATAGTGTGATCTCTGGATTGAGATAAAGAACTGATAATCTATATTCCAGAACTGGCCATTTTTCAAGATTAATGAACTATCCTGGCAGCAGCCACCTGCCTGAAACTGAGATAACATTCCCACAAAAGATACTATTAAACCTTCTCTCAGTGGTGCCAGGCAAGATGATCATGGGTATTGGTCCCACATCTTGCAATATACTGGCTTGTTGCTCATAATACTCTTTTTCTCCTATCATTCTTACTCTCGAGTTACTGGCTGTCTCGGGTGGCAGCAAGACTGGGCCTCTCACAGTTCCAAGGTTACAGCAGACCTGACCTTGGAAACCCTTCAAAGGGGCTCTTCCACACCTGAACCATTTGTAATTCTTGTGGCAGGTGCCAAATTGTTACGCATTCTATGAGGTATTAGGGGCTGAATGGTAAGAAAGAAGAGGTTAAAAAAAAAAAGAAGAGGTTGAGCAAACAGGACTTTAGGCCCCAAGGTTGAGGAAATCAAGTACATGAGAAAGGGGCTGCAGAGCCTAGAAGTACCTCTCTAAGGTGCAGTTGCCTCTAGGTTGGTGTTAGTAGCTGATACTCTCTGAGTTATCTTAGATACTGCATTAACTTA